ATAAAAATGTTTTAAGCATGCGACGGAAGGTGTGCAGATTCGGGATCCTCCGTATCTCCGGGGGGGAACTCGTTCCAGATCGTAGGTGCCCCCACAAAGAAGGCTCTCCCCCTAGGGGCCGCCAGTTGACATTGTTTGGCCGACGGCACCCGGAGGAGCCCCTCTCTATGGGAGCGTACTGGCCGGTGGGAGGCTATTGGTGGTAGCAGGCGATGGAGCGCTTTAAAGGTGATAACCAGAACCTTGAAGTGCACTCGGAAGACCACCGGGAGCCAGTGCAGCTCGCGCAGGAGAGGTGTTACATGGGAGCTCCACGTTGCTCACATAACCACTCGCGCGGCCGCACTCTGCGCCAGTTGGAGCCTCCGAGTGCACCTCAAGGGGAGCCCCATGTAGAGAGCGTTACAATAGTCCAGACGAGAGGTGACGAGGGCATGAGTGACTGTGTGTAGGGAGTCCCGATCTAGAAAGGGATGCAACTGGCGGATCAGGCGAACCTGATGAAAAATCCTCCCGGTCACGGCTGTCAAGTGCTCTTCTAAAGACAGCCGTGAATCCAGGAGGACGCCCAAGTTGCGAGCCCTTTCCATGGGGGCCAATGATTCGCCCCCAATAGTCAGCGATGGCACCAGCTGACTATATCGGGACGTCGGAAACCACAGCCACTGGTTGTGGGAAAACATGTGGTCGAAAGCATTGAAAGCTACATTATATTCAGGGGTGCGTTGCTGGGGGTTCGCAGGGGTTCAGGAGAACCTCTAGCTAAGATTCTGTGCATTTCGGAGAACCCACAAATCCCACTCTTGGCTGGCTCCACCCACCCCTCCCCTCCCCTCCCAGGAGTCCCCAAGCGGCCCATTTTGGATGCAGGTAAGTGCAGGGTGTGCTTGGAGGCTTGGGGAGGGTGAAAAACGGGCCTACCAGAAGTTCGGGAAGGCCTCCAGAGGGCCTCCAGAGCCTGGGGAGACCGTTTTTAACCTCCCAGAGGATCGAGGAAAGCCTCCGGAGCCCAGGGAGGGCAAAAACACTCCCCCACTGTGGTGCAGAAGGCCAACTAGGCCACGCTCACCAGGGCCTCACCCACCCAGCAACCGGGCAGAGAACCCCTTGCTAAAATTTTTGAAGCCCACCCCTGATTATATTCTGACCTTAGAAAGATATTTATTAAAATAACGTATCATTGGTATATGTCACTAGCAAAATTGTCTAGGATGTATAAATGTACTTTGAATCTTTGCTAGAAATGTGAACAGCATTTTATCATCTTTGGTGGATATGTAAAAAAATCCAAAACTTTGGGATACAAATACGTACTATTAATTCAGAAGCTTTAAAGATTAATATACAATTTAAAGCAGAGGCTTTTCTTTTGGGACTAATGGACAGGCAACTAAAAAAAAAAGTCATGGAACATATCATAACTGCAACCAAGATTATTATATGCTCAAAAGCGGAAAGGTTTAACACTACACACAACTCAGGAATGGTGGGTGAAATGGTGTAGAGGTGGCTAAATTAACTGATTAGAGAAAAGACAATATATTTATGGTTGACTGAAAACCCCTAATAGACTTTTTTTTGCATATTTTATTTATTTATTTGTTTGTTTGTTTATTTATTTATTTATTTATTTATTTATTTATTTATTTATTTATTTGCTTAAATTTGTATACCGCCCTTCTCCCGAAGGACTCAGGGTGGTGAACAGCCAAAATTAAAATACATACAATATAAAATTTAAAATAATTTAAAACAGAATTAAATCGAATTGGCTTCCCAAAAATTAAAACCCATTACCCTTAAAATAACCCATTAAAATTTTAAGCCAGCCCAGCTTGCTGAAATAGGAAGGTCTTCAAAGCTCGACGGAAGGTCCGGAGGTCTGGGATCAGTCGTATTCCTGGGGGTAGCTCGTTCCAAAGGGCGGGTGCCCCCACAGAGAAGGCTCTCCCCCTGGGGGTCATCAGTCAACATTGCTTGACCGATGGCACCCTGAGGAGGCCCTCTCTGTGGGAGCAAATTGGCTGGTGGGAGGTTATCGGTGGCAGAAGGTGGTCTCATAAATAACCGGGCCCTAAGCCATGGAGCGCTTTAAAGGTGAGAACCAATACCTTGAAGCGCACCCGGAAGACCACCGGAAGCCAGTGCAGCTCGCGCAGGCAAGATGTCAAATGGGAGCGCCATGTCGCCCCCATAATTACCTGCGCGGCCGCATTCTGGACCAGCTGGAGCTTCCGAGTGCTCCTCAAGGGGAGCCCCATGTAGAGAGCATTGCAGTAGTCTAGGCGAGAGGTGACGAGAGCGTGAGTGACCGTGCATAGGGAGTCCCGATCCAGAAAGGGACACAACTGGCGTATCAGGCGAACCTGATAGAAAGCCCCCCTGGCATATAAAGTGATTCAGTGATTAGAAAAAAATGGATAATAGAAAAGAGTGAGCTTTTTTGTAATTACAGACTACAAGATAATTTTATAATGGTACTTGCATTTACTGCAAAGGAAATCAGAACTTTTTCTTTTCCTTCCTTCCTTCCTTCCTTCCTTCCTTCCTTCCTTCCTTCCTTCCTTCCTTCCTTCCTTCCTTTTGTATTTTCTTTTTTCTTTCTTTTTTCTTTTTATTCTGTATTCGTTTATATTAGGTTTTTATTGTTCAGTTCAAAACTTTTAATTATAAAATTTAATGACCTTTGAAATGAATCCTACTGATTTACCAAAGTAAAAGAAACTTGGTTTATGCAAAGGGACTGTGGTTTTCTTTTAAAGTGATGCGGATCATGTAGGCAAGGCAATTTGCTCAGCTAAATTGAAGAGGGCACCTGATTCATTTTTCTTATGTGCTTTTGAAATGCTTTGTGCCAGAGCTTCAGAAGAAAATTTATTTCAACTTTCTCATCAGCATTATTCTTTATTTTGTTTCCCTATGACCTCTCATTTATTATTCCTTTCCCCAAACTATGATTACATACTTAATGTTCCCCTTAAGAATTCTGAGACTGCTATGAACAATTCTTCCATAAGAAGCCACAAGGGGGCACTGTTGTCCTGTCTAGAGCAGTGTTTTTCAATCTCAGGCCGCCCTTTTCCTATCTATAAATTTCATAATCTGTATTATATTTAAATACACTTTGATCTTCTCCAGGCTAGGAGTCTACTTTCCATATAGTTCAAACAATATTTAATAAACCGATTCATCCATCTCTTGCAGCTGAGATATACCTCCTTCCATCCCAAATAGTGATAAAATAGCCAAGTGGTATCATGCAAAATATAAAATAATATGTAATTTTAGAAAATCCAGAATTCAACAAAATAAGATCAGGTAAAACTAATAGAATGATTTTGTGCTCAATCGCTACCAAGCTGGCACAATAAAATATCTGAGAAAATATAGAGAAAATTATGGTTACTTAATCCGGTTTGTTTTTATTAAACTCAAATGTCTCATTTGGGTTTCTCACTTAAATGTAAAGTTGGAAGCTGAAAAACACAGTTTCCACTCAAAATATCATTTCAGTTTATAAATGATTTTGTGCTTTTAAAAAGGCAAGTGAGAGAATAGAAAGACAGATTTACTTTACAATGGACGACCACAAGGGGGCAGAGAAATAAGTATAGGTTGTGCTTTATCCTTCTATTGTAAATTGTGATGATAAATAACCAAATTTATTCATTTATATAAAGGTACATAGATTCCAGAAGAGACAGTAGATAGGCAGAGTCACAAAGAACAAGTAAAGATTTTTCAATGCATTGTTTACTGGAAATTGGTTAAAGAAATAAGGTGATATAGAGGGCTGAGAATGCAGTAAGAAGCTGAGAACAGGAAGTAAAAGAAGATACAGTCCCATTCCACTCCACCATCAATTCACTTTTGATTACAATTTGGAATAAAAAGAAGATATTGCATACAAACAGAGAAGGTGGAAAAAAACGAGGAAGAAAGAGAATGGGGCAAAGAAAAATCAGACTCACACATGCTCAATCAAATATTCAATAAATTAATAACACAATGTCAGAACTGAACAACAACTTTACACCCTTGTGGCAAAAGATCATAAACAAGATAGAAGGCATGAAAGTTGCTTTAAAAACAGCAACTATAAACACGGTTAAGCATCCAAACCAATGCCAACCAATCGCAGAGTTAAAAGGAAAGCAAGAAAATCTGATTCAAGGTATGAACATTAACAAGGAAAGGGAGCAAAAAAATGGAAATGGCTATGGTTGTATAAGACTCTCAGGAAAGTCCATCAAAGTCAGAATTCAGAGGGATCCCAGAAGATTTTGGAAAAAGGAGATCTTGAAAGCTACTTTAAACAAATACGCTATATACCAGTGTTGGCAAACACTTTTTGGCACCGAGTGCTGAAATGGGAGCATGTGTATGTGGAGAGGGGGGAGCACCGGAAACCAGAAGAGCAGCTCCTGGTGCACATGTGTGGGAGTGCTGGAAACCAGAAAAGCAGCTCCTGCTGGGAACTGGAAGAGCAGCTCCCTGGCATGCATACACAGGATCGCTGAAAACCGGGAGAGCAGCTCCCTGGTGCGCATGTACAGGAGCACTAGAAACCAGAAAAGCAGTTCCCCATCACGCATGCGCGCTCTGGGAAACTAAGCTTCGGGGTTTCCAATGTGCAGATGTGTGCCTGTTACCTGGACTTCCAGTCACTGGGTAGAATTCTGTTTAATCCATTTAAAAAGGAAGAACATCCCATCTTGCTCGCTTTGTAAGACCTTTAATTTTTGTAATTTCTATTATTATTATTATTATTATTATTATTATTATTATTATTATTATTATTATTATTTTATTTATTTATTTATTTATTTATTTATTTATTTATTTATTTATTTATTTATTTATTTATTGAATTTATATCCCGCCCTTCTCCCCGAAGGGACTCAGGGCAGTGAACAGCCGAAAATTAAAATAACATACAATATAAAAATTAAGATAACTAAAAATAAATTAAATTAATTTAAATGCAGCAAAGGTTAGGGTTAGGGTTAAAGCTTATTAAACATTGCTCTTCTTCTTTTATTAATTAAATTACGTCTGTTTAGATTTAATGAAATCAATGCTGTTTGTTTGCAGTTTAATGCTGCAGCTATGCTTAGTGTTCCTTCTTCTTCATCTTCAGTTTTCTTTCGTGTTCAATTCTCGATTGGAAATGTGTCCATAGGATCCAGAGCAGTATTCTGTTGTGTATAAAGGGAGTTCTCATGCTCCCAAAACTGATTAGGCCGAGTCTTATCTGAAAAAAAAACAAAGAACACCATTAATTTGATTAAATCTGAATGGATTTAATTTACTTAATAAAAGCCAAGGCGGGTGAGCTTTGCAAGTGTTTGCAAAGGGGCATTTGGGAAAGCTGCAACTTTGTGGTTGCTTTTTCTTTTTCTTTTTTTCTGCAGCTGAACCTCAGCCCAGCCTGGCTCAACCATCAGGCAGGATATGCCTCATCAGCAGTGGAAGCAGAAGACACTGGAGGTCAGCTGAAGGGATGGAGTGCAGGGCACCCAGGTTCTCGGATGAAAGGGTAATGAGGGTGATTGCACCTGAGATTGGGGTGGCTGTGTTTTCCCAGGCTAGGTTGTGGAAGGCAACTAAAGGAGAGAGATTGGGGGGCAGGAGATAGGCAGATGGGGGCTGTTGGAGGCTTGGGACTGGGAAGGTCCAAGGCCAGAAAGACTTGGTTTGAGGTAGGTACTTGCTTAAGAACTCACGATTCTCAGTTAACAACTGCAACATGGAGTGCCAGAATTGTCACTGTACATCAGTGTCATCACATAATATCTCCCTGCATCACTTAGTGATGGAAATTCTGGTCCCAATTCTGGTCCTATGTCGAGAAATAACTGTACATGGGTTGTTGTTTTTTAATGTTTATTGAACTCTAGTATTTCTTACCTTACTTCCAGCAGATTTTTCTTACCAATATATATATATTTCTTAATGTTGACCATAGAGTCAACATTATAGATTCTGCACTTGGCTGATGCACGTTGATGACAACACAGTGCAACCCATATTGGCTGTTTTCATATGGCTGATTTAGGAATAGGAATAAGAATGTTCTTTATTGGCCAAGTGTGATTAGACACACGAGGAATTTGCCTCCACAAATTGGACGCACAAAGAATTTGTCTTAACCCTGTGGGTTAAAACTTCATATCCCAATCTACACTGCCTACTTTGCTTGGCGAACTTTAATCTTACTTTGCATCAACTAGTGTCCATTTGTCTAGTTTATGCAAATCTAGAAAGCAAGTGAGAAGGGTGAACAGGAATGTAAAATGGATTCATCCATTCTCAACTTCATCTTCAACTGGAGATGGAGGTAAAATTAATCAACTTTAATCTAATTGACATTTCTCAACATGAGAAGGGAATTATCTCTTGGCTTTTGCACTTAGTCATATTTGGCAATATATAAAAATATAGATAACATTGCATATGAAAATGTGGGTATTAGGGGAAACTGTATGCAAGCATGTGAGAAAAACTAGAGTGCAAAGGTGTGTTGTGTTTAAAAATGTGTATGCTTTCTTTGTAGATATGCTTGTGGAAAGCAAATCTATGCTTCTTCTTCTTCTTCTTTTTTTTAAAAACCCCAGAATATTATTGAAACAATGATAAGCAGACAAGTCCATTTCTTTCCACTGTATATTGAAGGATTTTCTACTTGTCTTTGTTTCATTTTATTTAGAAAGAAGGTAAAACAGTTTTAGTTATCTGCTTTATTCCCTCTTTTTCCCAGTCATTATGCTCTTTCCCTTCGTTTCTATACTCACCCAAAGTATTATCTGCCAATTCTGCAGGTGGTGTTTTTCATTATGATGGTGTATTCTTATAAAGATTGTTTTAAGCCTTTCAACCCACTGACAAAAGTCATTTTTCCAATTTCCTGAATCAATAAAAAAGAATGAAAAAAAAATAAGTCACTTCTTTGGGATAGTTTTTCCTCATTTTCTTTTCAGTAAACACAATTCCCTCTATGCTATCGTCATCCTGCAGAATGATAGATAGAAAACTCCATTGCTATTGATTGTGAGATGAAGGTATCTGTCACAGAATTAAAAAAAAACCTAGACTCTATGCAAACTATGAGACACATGGATTTGTGCTAAATCTCCCAAAATAGTTGATGCCAAAGGCTAACATAGTGATGCCAAAGGCTAACCCAACGGGCAGGTACAGTCATAATAACTGCATAGTTGGTTGTTCATTATGTTAGCAAGGGGAGAGAGAGGAAGAGGGCAGAGAGAAAGAAGGGGGTTCACATATTATAATAACCCAGATTATCTGAGAAAGCCAGTGTTCTGGAGCATTCAGTTCAGTCCTTTCTATTTGGTTTCTCCTGCTACATCATAAGTGGGGGCATGATGGCTCACTGGTTAAAAACACTGAGCTTGTTAGCTGGAAAGCTGAGAGCCCTGGTTCAAGACCCAAGCTCCACACAACAGGATGAGTTTGCATTACTTGCCCCAGCTCCTGCCCACCTAGCAGTTCAAAAGCATGCAAATGTGAGTAGATTAATAGGTACCACTTCGGTGGGAAGGTGTTCCATGCGCCTTTTGCATATAGCCATGGTGGCTACATGACATTGGAAAATATCTTCCGATGGAGATAGGTTCCCCAGCCAAGAAATGGTGATGAGCATCGTGCCCTAGAGTCAGACATGATCAACAGGGAAACCGTTACCTTTTGCTAGATCATAGTAACTTACTCCACTGTTTGTATATTACAAAGGTGGTTGGGTGTGGCTTCTGATCTCCGCCTTAATTGTGAGAGATGATTCAGGGATCCCTGCCTGTCCAGCAAATCGTGAAAAGCACTTCTACAGCCTGTTTATGGAGGAAGGTGGCATGAGTAGGTAGCCTATAGCACATCGTTGGGTCTTTTCCAGTAAATCAGATTTTTTTAAAAAAATCGTGTGAATATCTTCAAGGTCAGATTATATTTCTTTTACATAAAAGAATAAGGGAGAGGGAGAACAAGGCAAAAAACCAGAATGGTATAATGCCGTGATGGCAAACCTATGGCACGCGTGCCACAGGTGGCATGTGTAGCCATATCAGTGGGCACACCAGCTCAGCTCCGGCACGCATGCATGCACCAGCCAGCTGATTTTCGGGCCTTCTGGGCCCACCAGAAGTAGGGAAACAGGCTGTTTCCTGCCTCCAGAGGACCTGGGGGGGAGTGGGGAAGGCCCGTTTTTCTTTCTCACCTGGCTCCAGATCCTCTCTATGCATCTGGGAAGGGCAAAAACAGCCTTCTCGGAGGCCCTCCGGAGGCCTGAAACGGCCCATTTTCCAACTCCCGGTTGGACAGGAAGTGACGTTTTTTGCTGTCCAGCCTCTCTAGGAGTCTCTGAAGGCTGGGGACAGCAAAAAAGTCACTTCCTGTCCAACCGGGAGTTGGAAAATGGGCCGTTTCAGGCCTCTGGAGGGCCTCCGAGGGAGTGGGAAAGGCTTTTTTTGCCCTCCTCAGATGCATAGAAAGGATCTGGAGCCAGGTGAGAAAGAAAAATGGGCCTTCTGGGCCGTCATGTGCCAGGAGCGGGGGGGAGGGGGGTTGAACGCGTATGCGCAGGGCGGGTGCATAGAATTATGGGTGTGGGCATGCATGTGCGCAAATCTCACCTGCCCCCCCTCCTGGTACGCGATGACAAAAAGGTTAGCCATCACTGGTATAACGGTTAAGGTGTTAGACTAACGAGACCCACATTCTTGTCCAATCTCACCATAGAAACTCACTGGATGACTCTGGGCCAGTCAGTCTCTTTCAGTCCAATCAAAGGATTGTTGTTTGTAGGGAAGGAATAGGTCTTGCATTAGAGTAATACAAGCGCATAGCAAATAAAAATATAACTACTTCAAAAATGGAATCTGAATAACAGTAAGGTCTTCTTATTGCTCACAGCAATTGTACCAGCAGTAAATTTCTATAGTAAATTTCTGTTCTTTCTGTAGTAAATGTACATCTGTGTATTCTTGTAAGTATCAATGTATGCTCTTACTAGTCCGGACAATCTCTTCATTTCCAACATTGGTTAGATTGGTGGGGGCAGAGGTGGTATCAGCAGGTTCTGACCAATTCCGGAGAACCGGTGGTGGAAATTTTGAGTAGTTGGAGAACTGGTAAATATCACCTCTGACTGGCCCTGCCCCCATCTATTCTTTGCCTCCCGAGTCCCATCTGATCAGGAGGAAATGGGGATTTTGCAGTAACCTTCCCCTGGAGTGGAAAGGGAATGGAGATTTTACAGTATCCTTCCCCTACCACACCCACCAAGCCACACCCACCAAGCCATGCCATACCCACCAAGCCATGCCCATAGAACTGGTAGTAAAACAATTTGAATCCTACCACAGGGGGTGGGGGCAGGTATAGCAAGATGTCTTTGAAAATGCTTCACTTCTCATCCAAGAAGCTTCTTCAGTTCTTCATCAGTGAACTGAAGAAACTTCTTGGAAGCGAACTATCTTTAAGCATAAACAAAGTAGGTCTAGTTGCCATTTGAAAAATTACCTTTGGGATTTGATTGAGGTATTGTTTGCTTCTTGACTGTTGATCTGATGTTAATCTCAGTCTTAATCTCTGTTTATCAACCAAAGAACCAGGATTTTGGACAGGAAAAATAGATGGTTTGAGAGAGGAGTGAAGGAATTCACTTACACCAGAGTGGAAAATCCTTCCATCAATAGAAGTGGAGGCCTCAGACACAACCTGGCTCCCATTTTTCACATTGCTCTTTCACCAGCTTCTATGGAAGTTTAAGACCACTTCACAGGTTTATTAGGGAGGCCAGTGGTCAAGGGTTCAGGAGTTGGAACATTTACACCTCAGTGATTCTCTGCCTACTCACCTAACAAGCCTATCCAGATTAAGTAAGAAATGAAATTTCCCTGAAGGATATATTTGGGGTTCCCCTTAACCACCTTCCTCAGACTGAAGAAGCTACTTGGATAAAAGTGAAAGTTTTCAAACCAACAATAAAAGAAGTCCAGTTGCCATGACTCAACCTCCAGATCAATAGGAGATCTTTGGAGTATTTAGAATAAAGAGAAGAAATATTCAGTGTTGATGTATTAAGAGTAGCCCCACCCCTTGGATTGCACTACGCCTATCTCTTGAAAGGTTCAAACCTGCACAGGGAAAAGTCTAACACGCTCACCAAGGTCAATAGTGGTCACTGGATCAATAGGAATTGTTCCAGTCTCAAGAATGAAACGAAAAATATTACCAGTATTGATACACCATTAAACAATGGTACTACCCTTCAACTGCAATAATCCAAACCCTTCAATAATGTAAATCTGGACACAGATGACTCTAACTCACTCACAGGTCATTGGCTCAGCAGGAATTGTTCCAGTATTTAGAATAAAGAGAAAAATTATTTCCATGGGTGCTCTATTATTAAAGAGTTGTCCCCAAAGTGGATTGCAATAAGTCAGTCCTTTGAATGATTGAAATCTGGATGCTGAAAAGCTTAAAGCTCATTCACCAGGTATGGTGAGGATCATTGAATCATCAGGAGTTATTTTTCATTGCTAGAATGAAGCGAAAAGTTATGGACAATGTTGATGCACTGTTGAAGAGTGGCCCCACCACATAGAGTGTAATAAGCCAATTTCAAGAGATAACATCCCATGGATTATAATAAACTGATTTCAAGAGATTTCATGAGTTTAAAACCTGGATTCAGAAAAATGCTAAATCATTCATCAGGGATAGTGGTGGGCTCTGGATCAGCGGGTATTTAGAATAAAGAGAAGAATGATTTACATGATGCTCTATTTTTGAAGAATGGTCCCAAGAGTGGATTGCATTCAGCAAATCCATTGAATGATTGAAATCTGGATGCAGGAAAAAAAACTTAAATCACTCACCATGTACAGCAGCAATCTTTGAATTAATAGGAGCCGTTGTTGATTCTAGAACAAAGGGAAAAGATATTGACAATGTTGACACGCTATTAAAGAGTGGCCCCATCCCATGAATTGTAATAACCCAATCTCTTGAAACGTTTAAACCTGGATCCAGAAAATGCTAAATCATTCACCAGGGATAGGGGTGGTCTTTGAAGCAGCAGTTTCTTTTGCAATAGCTAGAATAAAGAGAAGAATTATTAATATGGTGCTCTATTATTAAAGAATGGTCCCAAGATTGGATTGCATTAAGCAAATCCCTTGAATGATTGAAATCTGGATGGAAAAAACCAAACCCAAATCACTCACCAGGTGCAAGGATATTCACTGAATTACTAGGAGTCACTGGTATTCCTAGAATGAAGGCAAAATATATTAAGAATATTGATAACACTATTAAAGAGTGGTCCCGTCTCATGGCTTGTAATAAACCAGCTTCTTGAAACATTTAAAAAATCAATTGAAAGGTTTAAATCTGGATGCAAAAAAAGCCTAAATCACTCACCAGGGAAAACAGCAGCCCATGAATTAACAGGAGTCATTGATATTTCTAGAATGAACAGAAAAAATATTGACAATGTTGATACACTATTAAAGAATGATCCCATCCCATGGGTAGTGATGCTTTCATACAGTAAGCAAGAGTTGTTGTAATAACTTCCATAAAGAGAAGGTATTTGTGGAATTTTATTTTAGTTGGATAATTTGAGCGGCATGGTGGCCTAGTGGTGAAGATGCTCGCTTCCCATTTGGAAGGTTGAGAGTTCAATACTAGATAATGGCAGATATTTCTCTTCTAGGGTGCAAAGAAAAAAAAATCTGCTGTGAACTTCACGTGATGTAAGGAAGGGCATCTGGCCAGTAAACACTCAGCTCCATGCTTTACCCTGATTTAAGGGATTAGAGAGTTGTAAAAAGGGAGTTTTAAGTGGACCTTGCCCTAACTCGGGAATAACGCTAGGAAGAAGAATTTGTTCTATTTATTTATTTATTTATTGGTTCGATTTATATGCCACCCTTCTCCGGAGACTCAGGGCAGTTTACAATGCGTTAAGCAATAGCCTTCATACTTTTGTATATACCTGCTTAGTAGGGCTTTCGCCCCCCCCCCAAGCGGTGTTCTTTTTTATACAAAGTCAGCTTATTGCCCCCACAATCCAGGTCCTCATTTTACCTACCTCGAAAGGATGGAAGGCTGAGTCAACCTTGAGCCTGGTGAGATTTGAACTTGCAGTAATTGCAGGCAGCTAGTGCTACTTAATAGCACTTTAGTCTGCTGTGCTAGGCTCTTGTTGATTTTATATGCAATAATTACAGGGGGGAGGCTAATAGCAATTGTCTGATTCAACTTTGCTTACGCAAAATCCTAAATTAGAGTGGATGATCATCAGCACTGTATCACCAGGAATTGTTGTAACAACTAGAATAAGGAGATGATAGAATACTGAACAATGGTTCCATTTCTTTGTTTTGCACTGTCAGCTACTTGAACAATTCAAATCTGTAAACTCAAAACGCCAAACCACTCACAAATATTGGTAGTCAAATCTGAAGGTGCTATATGTATAATAAAGACAGAGGATATTAAAAAAAAAAGTTTGCAACATGTTTTACAATGCTAAGTTATTGAATAATGAATATAATATTGGCATCTAGGAAGCCCCAAATTGCTCCAGATCAAAGTATTTTAAAAAAACATATTGCCCAAATACTGTACCTCCCATCCTTCATGCTAATATCTTCTGCAGTGGGTGCCCTTGTGGTCTCACCAGTGGTTTGGATTAAGATGTTTATAAGGAAGTGCAGTAATTATTTAACTTATTCCTGACTCATTTCAACAAGCTCCCGTATTGTCTTGTTTGGAATATAAATACACCAATTACTTACAAGGTAAAGACTGCTTATAAAGGCGGTATTCTAATTTGACTTACTTTTCTTTCCAATTGCTTCACTCCTACATTATAGAAATATGACTTGTTACCGATTTCTTTTATTGAATAGTTTTGAATTGAACAATATTTGATTATATTTTATGAATTCTTCAAAGCAGGTCATACAATGAAATAATTATTTTCCTTCTTTTTTTATGCTGAAGCTCAAAATCCCATAATAGTAAATTCATATAGCAATATCACGTAGACTTATATACCACTTCACAGTGCCTCTCTAAGTGGTTTACAGAGGGAGCATATTGCCCCCAACAATCTGGATCCTCATTTTATCGACCTCAGAAGGATGGAACTAAATAGGATAGGATAGGATAGGATAGGATAGGATAGGATAGATAACAGAGTTGGAAGGGACCTTAGAGGTCTTCTAGTCCAACCCCCTGCTTAGGCAGGAAACCCTATACCCGTGATGACAAACCTATGGCATGCATGCCACAGGTGACATGTGGAGTCATGTTGCCTCTTTGCTGGCACAAGTGGCCTTCCTCCACTGCCTCTTTGCCGGCAAAGTTATGTAGGCAAGCTCTGTGCCCCGCCAGCACAGACCATGCTGGAAATTGCCTGACTGGCTCCAACGGGGCTTCTCCGGAGCGTGGCTGCAGTCACTGCTACCACAGACATTTCCCCCCCCCGGACCTTTCTCCCCCCATAAGGCAAACCCCGAGATTTATGCTGAGGGTGGCAGAGGGAGGAGGATGAGCCACTGCTGCCTCTGCAAAGAGGATTCCCCCTCAACCAGGACCTTTCTCCCCGCCCCTTATAAGGCAAACCCCAAGTTTTACAGTGAGGCTGGCAGGGGGAGGAGGAGGAGCCTCCCGTTTTTGGATTTGGAGAAGAAAGGGTTTTTGGGAGGCAGCGCTGAGATCCCCTTCCCGAATCAAAAAAGTGCACTGCGTTTCAGGCAGCGAATCTGGCCAGGATCTGGCCTTCTGCAGAGAAGGAGGAGGAAGGTACGCGGTTCTGCAATGTGCACCAGAGAACCACAGAGGAAAGCATTTTCCGGCAAATCCAAAAACGGGGCGTGCGGCTGATCGCGTGCCCTTCTCCTCCTTCTCCACAGACTCACTTTATCTTTCCTCCTGGCCAGATCTGCCACCTGAAATGCAGTGCACATTTTTGATTCAGGGAGGGGATTTCAGCACTGCTGCCTGAAAACCCTTTCTTGTCCAAATCCAAAAACTGGGCATACACAGGCCAAACAAGAGCACCATGGTTTCAGGTGCTGCGCAGGGGGCATAAGGCAAGGTGGCTAGCCACCCTGCCTGCCCCTTCTTCCAATGACCCAGGCGGAGGGTGGTTGGCTTCTGCTCCTGGTCCAGGAGGAAAGAAAAGGTGAGTCTGCGGAGAACGAGGAGGAGGGCACGTGGCTCTGCAATCTGCACCAGAGAACCAATGAGGAAAGCCTTTTTGGGTGGATTCGGGGAGGGCATCGCAGCACTGCTGCCCGAAAAGCCTTTCCTTCGTGGTTCTCCGATGCACAGTGCAGAAGTGCCCACCTTCCTCTTCCTTCTCCGCAGACTCACCTTCTCTTTCCTCCTGGCCAGATCCGCTGCCTGAAACACAATGCACTTTTTTGATTTGGGGAGAGGATCGCAGTGCTGCCACCCAAAAACCTTTTCCTCTCCAAATCCAAAAATGGGGCGTGCAGATGCCAAAAAAGTGCATTGAATTTCGGCCTCTGGGGGAGGGATTGAAGCCTGCCGCCATATGCTCCTCTCACTGAGTAGGAAGCAGTAGCATGAGAAGCACCGGCGGCAATGGGGTTTCAGTGGAAAGGATGGGTGTGCTGGGGCTTCAATCCCCACCCGAGGCCTGGGGCCATGCCCGAAGCCTGCTCATGCGGGGAGACAAGGAAGCCCCGGCTCACCCATCCTTGCCGCTACCACCCCCTTGCCCCTGGAGGCAGCGGTTCTCGTGTTGCTGCAGGGGCTTACCGGGAAGCCCAGTACCCAGTGGGGAGGAGCCCAGGCAAGGCTATGTGTTCGGAGCTTCCTCGGCTTGTACATTGCGGGGCCAAGAGCGCTGCCACCGGCAGGGAAAGGCTGTTTCGCCAGGGGACAGTTTGGTATCTGGTTGTCCTCCAGTAAGAGGCGCACTGGCGCCTCTTGGAAAAAGCGGGGGCGCATGTGTGTGGGGGGGGGTGCGTGCATGCGCAGTGCAAGCGAACACGATAGCGTGAGCGCACTCAGACTTTTGGCACGCAACACCAAAAAGGTTCGCCATCACTGCCCTATACCATTTCAGACAAATGGTTATCCAATTTCTTAAAAACTTCCAGTGTTGTAGCATTCACAACTTCTGGAGGCAAGTTGTTCCACTGATTAATTGTTCTAACAGTCAGAAAATCTCTCCTTATTTCTAACCTGGTTATCTCCATGATTAGTTTCCACCTATTGCTGTTTGTCCTGCCTTCAGGTGCTTTGGAAAATAGTTTGACTCCCTCTTCTTTGTGGCAACCCCTGAGATATTGGAAGACTGCTATCATGTCACCCCTAGTCCTTCTTTTCATTAAACTAGACATACCTAATTCCAGCAACCATTCTTTATATGTTTTAGCTTCCAGTCCCCTAATAATCTTTTTTTACATTGTGGCGACCAAAGCTGGATGCAGTATTCCAAGTATGGCCTTACCAAGGCATTATAAAGTAGTATTAACACTTTATATGATCTTGATTCTATCCCTCTGTTTATGCAGCCTAGAGGGATAGAATTGAGCTTTGAGCCGGTGAGATTTGAACTGCCGAACTGCTGGCAAAAATCAGTCAGCAGAATTAGCCTGCAATACTGCATTCTAATCACTGTACCAGCACGGCTCTTGCATATAAGAAGAGATCAACTAGATCACTCTGAAAATCCATTTAGCTTTCCTTCCACTCCCTGCAGCATATCCAGCTAATCGCTCAGATCCCCATGACTGGATCAGGGAATTACATCAAATTAACCCAAAGAACCAGAATGGTTAAGGAATTATGATGAGATGCCTACATACCTCCTAATACCAACATATACGTAAGTATATACGTTCCAGTCTTCATCATCAAGAATTAGTTGCAGGTGCCTAGTAATTCAGAAGAGACTGAAGGAATCAAGGATAGTGCAGAATACACACCAACTGTCCTATATTAAATAGCCTATAGAACCTCCTATGGGAGGAGATAAAGAATGGGGAGAATAATGGTTTACGTAATGGAAGGCACAAATAAGTTAGATAAACATTCAGTTAAATCATAGCATAGGATTTGCAGGCACTGAGCCAAGCATGATATCAGCTATGTTAGGTTTTCTTCCCTTCAGAAAACAGACCACATTCACAAAGTGAATAATATTTTTTTAATTAAAGTTTTTCCTCTGAAAAGCTCTTTTTTCTTCTTTATCTATATAAGAAAATCTGGTGGAACCTATCTCCATATCCGCAGATATGCTCAAAAATATTACAATCAGAACATGTATACATGCCTACAAGTTAACACGGTTTGCAAACTTTTTGAGCCCCGATAATCTCAAATTTCTATTATAAAAAGAGTCAGAGTTTGGTTACTGTATTCCGGTCAGTGACCAGATCAAGAAAACAGGTTCACATCAATGGCAAATAGATGCCTGACTGATCAAAGAGATCAAGTAAGGCAGAGTGTGTTACAACACTAAAGAAGATGGCTATTTAGATCCTGTTCTCCATGTCAAACCGATATGAATTTCTCCTAACCCGTGACATGTAGGACAACTCTTTTCTCTGTTTTCCCAATGGGAAATTGAGATTTCAAGTTCTCATATATATCCAAATGAAATTAATTGAAAGGCTATTTTACTGGGTGGGTGGATTGGAGAGGTTCCTCATCTCATCATTTTCTTGTAATCAATTCTGAAATGAAGCAGAAGCAGTAGTTCAATCACCAGAAGAAACTGTGGTGCTTATGAAAAGGGCACTTCCTGCTCCTTAAAATTAAAATGGGAAGCAGAGTCGTTTGAGTCAACAAAATCAATAGTGAAGCAAATAATATAATCAGATGGACTGCTGTATTGTGGTTACTAAAACAGATGACATTGGAACGACAGCCCTTGATGCATTAATAAATTAAAGGAGTAGCAAACTGTGTTAGAAATTACATTTGAATCTATTCAGAGGCACACTCTGAATTTAAGATTTATAGGCTTTGAAGCAACTGCAGAAAAGAAGAACATTAAAATCTTTATACAGTTAGCCTTTTTTAGTAACCACAATGGGAATGCACAACTCGGTCATTAAGCAAAGTTGTTTCTAAGTGAAATCACGACTGTTCTTATAATCTTACTTCCTTTGCTTTACACACTTTGTGAGTTGTAATGTGACATTTGGTTGTAAGGTTACTCTTTCATCACTGTTGTAACAATAGCTAAATGAGGTTGTCAGCAAACAAAGACTATCTGTAATTACAAATTGTTTATCGAATGTAGAACTTTCTGCAACTGATTTAAAGATGGTCCAAAGGACCATGGCTCCAAGACTTGCTGAAGAAGATCATCCTAAAGATGCTGTAATTTTATTTGTAAAATAACTAAAAAAAAAGAGTTGTTTACGAATTTGCAGATAGTGGCTGTTCAAGATCTTTGGGGTTTTTTTTAAATAATTTTTATTTTAAATTTATATTATAAAATCATACATTTTATTACATAATTTTTCCAACAGAGCAAATGCCAAAGGGCTAGTAGAGTCTACACATTTTCTGTTCCACCTACTTCAAGGACAGATTCAGGTTTCAGGAAGAGGGAAAAGAATGGGTTAAGATTAGGAGGAACACTGGGATAGAAGAAACTGGAGGCAACCATTGCTTATACACTTTTCTATAGCCATATTAAAAGTAAGTTTTGAAATTTAAATTGTTACAACACATAACCGATGCAAAACAGTTAATTGTCAATATGCAGGTTTAGGTGAAGTAAGAGCAAGCTTTTAGAAAAGAATGTTACCAGCAAGAATAATATGGCAAGACACATGTAAAATTGAAAACGAGTCACAAATGTTTATACATGGATGGTTTGGTTAGCAGAGTTTTGCATTTGGAGATAGTAGACAGAGGGGTTGTACTATTTTATTTAATGTCAGTGCAATAGTTAAACCTTCCCCAAAGTATGTGATCTCAAAGCTATTTTCATATCTGGTTTGGTATGTAATAAAACATAAACTTTGCACCAGCTTATATCCATAATAAGAGACCTTTTGTAACTTTTCCAATGGGAAAAATAAAAGCCATAATAGAAACATAGTTCCAAGTTAATTTTAATCATTAACAGTATAAGAAGTATATTTGGTTCTTGAAGTGTTGAACAGAGACATTAGACGGGTTGAGAAAATAATGGGTTGAAAATTTAAGAAGAGATTTATAAATTGAAGGCGTGCCAGTGATTTAGTTTTGATTTTACAAGAGTCTCAAAATGGGATCGAACACGTAATGAAGAAATCGAAAGACTTTGGTGCTGTCTTTAAAATAACCCCCCCCCCCAAAAAAAAAGAAAAAAAAAAGAAAGGAATATGTTGGTTAAAATATGAGTTTGCAAGATCAAGATACCTTGATGAAAAAGACTGGCTTTAAAATAGAGGTTAAATATCTAGGGATCATATTGACAAATATAAACTGTATGTTGTTTCAGAGTAATTAGATTAAGGTTTGAAACAATATTAGCAAGGTGGAACAAATTACTACTGATTTATTGAAATCAAAAGGAAAATTGGAAATGGAAGACCTGCCAAATGTTTGCTCGTGTTCATTGGGTAGAAAGGTTTACATTGGATAAGAAGAATTATGATATTGCAAATGAAAAAACTGACGTTGAACTGGATTTGTGTACTAATGATGAACATGTTACTGCTAAAATGTATAAACTTTCATAGAAAATGAATATGGAAAATGAATATTTTTTAAAATAAATTTTATTAATTTTCTATTAATTACATTCCTTAGTGCTTATTAAACATCATGTTGTCTGGATATTTAATTTGCTTAACAATTCAAATGCCGTTATTAATTTCCACCCCTTTTTTCCAATCACTGGTAAAATAAATTCCAAGTTTGATAATATGCTGTGTGATTTTGTTTGATTTTCTGTGTGAATTTCTGCTTGATTTTCAATGTAAGTCTGTCCATTTCTGCACAGTCTAATATTTTCTTAATTATCTCTTCATCTTGGGGTATTTCTTCATCTTTCCAATATTGTGCAAAGATAATCCTGCTGCTGTTAAAACATGTAATACTACCGTAAATACATACTTCTCTTATCAATTTTTTCTGCTATCATCCCTAATAAAAACAGTTCAGGTTTAAAATTTACATGAATGAATATTTTAAAGACAGAGTGATCAAGTGGACATTTTGGGGGGATATAACATAATGCTCGATCAATGGGAGAATATATAAAGCAAAGGATTGAAATTTACGTTGAATTATAATTTGAAAGAGAATGTTTATATGATGATGTACCATTAGTATTTAACACCTGATAAATTGTCAAAGATACATAAGAGAATGCCAATTATAGTTGGAAATATAATCAATGTGAAGATCATTTCCTCTTCTTTGTTGGACATGTAACAAAGCTAAGAAATAATGGGAAGAGATATGTATCTTAATCCAGACATTTCTTCACATAAATATACAAGTGAAGCACAGGTTTTCCTTCTAGGTTTGATAGATACATAGATTAAAAGGAAATGTGGGATCTTGTTTCTATACATGATAACAGCAGCAAGACCATTGTATGCACAGAAGTTGTATGGTGTTGTTGTTGTTTTTTAATGTATTTTCTTTACTTACTATAAATTTTTTAACTTACTATTCTATTTTTAAGGTGTTTTTTTTTTATTAAGCATAAAAAAATATCAAACATCTAAATCCAAGAAATGTAGGTTATAACAATTGTTCAAGTTGTTGATTGGTGTGATATTTGAAAAATTTAAGATTCGCATAAAGCGATGCTACTTATAATTCTGGGGACACTAGATATATTCAGAAATTAACTGCTTTCCATAATTTTTCCCAAACAAGTATTGTAAACAAGCATCAGTCTGAAGGAAATTTAATTAATGATTATCCATTAGTTTTAGGGAACTTTAGATGTTATTATTTCTATTATTAATCTGAAACTTGGATTTAGAACATTATTCAAAATAAATTATTATTCACAAAAATCAATATCAAATTGGTGGGATGCTATAAAACTTTCATTCAGTGAAACTGAATCGTTTTTACTAAAACAACACAAAATTTCAGATTGGAATATTGGCATCTGACAAAAAAAAATCTAATACATTTAATTTTGAAAAATCCATAAATGATGGAATAAAAATTAAAGGAGATTTTTAAGAAACCAGTAAAATTTCAATGTATTGTATATAAAAAAAATAATCTGCTAATTAAAATTCAGAAATTCAGAAAGGAACAATGTAAAAGCTTGATTCATTCACAACTCATAATAACTGGGTGAAACAGACTCAAAGTACACCTTCTAGAATTCACTATTTTTTGTTCTTTTTTATATAGCTCAGGTATTTTCAATTACACTGAACCTTAATAATAGTTTGTTTTAACTTTTCATATGAGTCATTGGACGACTCAGTGAATGGACTCCTTTAAACAATGTTTAAGGAAATTCTTGGAGAAGCCTTTATATGTGATGGTTTAAAAAAATATTTTTATAAAACTTTTCAGAGTATGATACCACATATTTTTTAGCGATGTGAAAATTAGAATAGTTTTTAACTTCTTAATGCCTTGAGATAAATATTAATTATCATAGTCTGAAAGCTTTCTAAAATTTAATGCAAATTACATCCTAAAATCCTGTTTTTCTTTGGACAAATTATTTAAACCGCTTTGCTTAATTAATTGCAAAGAGATTAAAATTATGTTAGACACATACCATGATATATATCGTCAGCCACTGATAATTTAACCTACTTGAGTAATAAAACATTTGTAAGCAACAACCAAGCTCAGAGACCACCAAGGACTCAGCAGTTTAATCTTGAGCTATACATATTTCCTTGTATTGGAAAGTAAACAATAATTGGTAAATGTATTGATTAAGATTAAATTGCTTTCATAGAAATATTATCAATACCGTTAAAATGATTAAGTGTTATGT